GTGTTTGGCTCCTTTGTCAAAGATGAGGTAGCTGAGTATGTCTGGAGTTGTTTCTGCATCTTCTAATCTGTCCCACTGATCCTTGGGTCTGTTTCTTTGCCAGTACCATGCTGTTTTTATCACAGTGGCTTTGTAGTACAGTTTCAAGTTAGGAATTGTGATACCCCCTGCCATGTCTCTGTTGCCTGGAACTGCTTTTGCTATTCTAGGTCTCTTCTAGGAAGCCAGTTTTTTTTCAGCCCACTTGTTCTGATTGCCTTCTTTTCTGTTATAGGTAAGGCCTTCTGAAAAAATAGAAGTAGGAGATTGATTTCCTTTTTGGACCTCAGAGAGATTTCCCTGTGGTGGCAGGGCTGCCCTGGGAGAAAAAAGGCAAATGAGAGGCTATGGACCTTTGCAAGTTGCTCCATCTGACATCCCCCAGTGGTGTGGCCTTGGGTGCTACCTGCTCCCCAGGGTCTGTGATCCCCGTTTGCCAGTTGGAGTGCTGTTTTTGCCCTTCAGGAGTCTGGAAAGGCATGCTGTGGAATGTTTCCTGGTCTGAGAGCTCTCGCAGCCTGGGACTTCTGTCTGATTCTGTAGTCATAGTCACAGTAAAGCAAGTTGGATTGGTGACTCCCAGAATCTTTTGGGAGCTTTGTGTTCTGATGAGTCCTCTACCAGGAAGGGCACACTCACATGGAACTCTTCAAGTAACTATCAAGAGGAGGTGGAGCAGCTGGGTGCAGTGGTGCACACCTATAATGCCAGCACTTAGGGAGGCTGAGGCAGGAAGATTGCAAGTTTGAGTCCTGTGTAGACAATTCAGCAGGACTGTGTCTTAAAATAAAAAAGTAAAGTAAAAATGTCTGGGGATGGTGGAGTTCCCCTGGGTTCAATCCCCAGTACTATTTTTAAAAAAGGGAGGGATGCAAACTCTTCTTACTTTCTCTAGCTAATTCATCTTCAGTGATCTCCATCTTTTGTTCTTAGGATTTAAGGTGCCCAATGTCTCAAAAAAAATGAGGTAAATTGGATGAGAGGGATAGAGAGGGTTGGATAATGGGTACCAAAATACAGTTAGATGGGAGGAATCAGTTCTGGGTTTTTTTTTTGTTTTTTTTTTGGTACTGGGGATCAAACTCGGGTCCTTGCACTTTCAAGGCAGGTGGTGGAACCACTGAGCTAAATCCCTGGCCCTCAGTTCTGGTTTCTTCAGCCTAATAGCATTACTCCAGTTCACAACAAGTTACATATTGTATATTTTATAAAGGACAAGAAGAGCGGAGTACGGAGGTTCCTAACAAAAAAAAATCACAAGTGATTTAAAGAGATGAAATGCTAATTACCCCATTTGATCATTACACATTGTATGCATTTATCAAAGTATTAGTACTGAGGGGCGGAATTGATCCACACTGGGGCTGATTCTTCAGCTGAACTCCAGCTGGAGGCTATGTTCTTCCAGGATTGTCCCTCAGAGACAACAACTCCAAAAAAAGAGTGGGAGGCACAGGCCTGAGAGCCGAGGCACTTGTGGTGTCATTGGGGATGAGGAGGGGTCGGATTGTGGGACAGGCCAGTTACCAACCAGCACTTGGTAACCAGTCAGTGACTACCACAAGAAACTGCATTTTCCTGCTGATTCTGCTCAGAGTACCTATGGATTTTTCCTGGAGATCATTTCCTCAATTAGGTGACTCTGATCCAGTGCTCATGTTAATTCACTCACTCTTGACTTCTTTTTCTCTGTAATGGTGGAGTTGGTGCAGTCATAGGAGCTGGAGGGCTTCTGTGCTTATTGAGCCAGAACTCATTATCCTGCTCCCCTGGATGAGCATCGCTCTGCTTCTGATAGCAGCGGGGACAGTGCCTCTCTTCCCCTGTTTTTTCTTTGCAGCTGGTGCCTCCCAGGTCAAATGGAATAAAAAAAACGCTAACTGCCTTGCCACCAGCCACGATGGGGATGTGCGGATATGGGATAAGCGGGTGAGTAACTTTTTTCCTTGTAGTTAGCCTTCAGTCCTTCCCAGAGGGTGGAAAAGGATGTCCTGAGGCCCAGGATGTTAGGAGTCTTGAGGGGCCCAGGGACTCTGCAGCATGGCAGGTTGTCATTTTAAGCTCATAGTACCAGGTGACATTTGCTTCTCAGACAAATTGCTGTTGAACAAAGGTAGGGAAGTAAGGCATTGTGATCAGGGGCGAAAAAATGAACTTGGCCTGACCTCCGTTAGAGTCCCACTTTGCTCCTCCCAATGAGGACATCAAGGAAAGTCTATAACTTCTCTAAGGCTCAGTTTTCTTATCTTCAAAATGAAGATAATATGATGACTGCATCAATCCTAGAATGATCAGCAGGCTTCTTTTCCCTGCCCCTGTTTGCAGAGTGAAAACTAGTTGTTCTAGGAATTATTCCTGAATACTTCCAAAATAGATCCCTAGGGAGGGGACTTGTTATGTTCAGTCCCCCCTTAGAAGTCCAGACATCCCCTCAGCCTCAGAGGAGCTTGCAGATTGATCATACATTGCAGCAGCCCGTGTGCTGAAGGCACCAAAAGGTGCCGGTGGCTGGGTGTAGTGGAAAGTCAATTGGAATTTCGGTGTGTTGGCATCAGAATATGTTACGGGGAAAGAGCTTCTCCCTTGCCTTACAGCCAGAGAGTTGGGTAATAAGGCCTCAAGCAGTCAACTTTGTAAGTCCTGTGGTGTAAACTGCTTCCTGCTTTGTGAAATCTGGGGCTAGAGATTCTAGGGCTCTTCGCCCAGGGCATGGATGCCCTGACCCAGGTGCTGACCCTACAGTTTCTGCTTTGCTGGTGGCTGTGCAAGGAATACTGAGATAAGGGGAGTGAAGCAGAGATTGGATGTGGCAGATCCAGGACCTGGTGGGAATGCAGTGTGCTGGCAAAGCTCCCTATCTTAGGTGGCTCTTAGGGCAGAAGATGAATTTATAGGAGTTGGATGGCTGCATGTTCTACGTTTTAGTTTCTGTCTTCTGTCCCTTTAGGTTACTCTGGTAATAGCCATTTCCCCCTTCTCTTTCTTAGTCTCCCGAGTGGTCCACTAATAGTGCTAACTTCCCTCTGCCTTTTATCTGTTTTGTTGAAAGAATTTTAACTTTTCTTTTTTATTGATACGTAGGCTTTCTGCTCAGGTGAGTTGTGAACTTGTTGATGGTATTTTTTTTCTGGCACTTTCTGGTATCAAAGCAGCACTGATGGCAGCAGCCATCTTAGGGTTAGAAAAGTTCAGTGTCAGTGGTGACCTTAGATTTCCATCCAGCTCAGTATGGCTGATGATACTGATGCTTACTAAGCATCCTGGGCATAGGCATCTAAGAGCTTTGTGTGTATTTATTTTCTGTTTATAGCTAGGCTTTCCAGTAGGGACTGTTCAGAGTCCTATTTTACAGATGAGTAAATGAGGCAGTTTGATGCTGAGACTAGAGCCTGAGAGGTTATTTCTGGAGACTGTGCTCTTAACTTTGTAGACTAATGCAAGTTATGGAAGTAATACATGCTGTTTGTAGGGGGAAATCTAAGAGAAAAATAAAAATCATAATCCTACTACCAGAGACAAATGCTAACATTTTGGGGTTTTTTCCTTTGCATTAAAAAAAATATATGGCTTATCATGTTGTATGCCTAGTTGTTTGTGCTTTTTTTCCATTTAAAATTATAACCAGTGCCTTTCTCCCATGTTATAAGCTCTAAGTATAACTTAAGGACTACATTATAGTGTATTAGATAGCTGTATAAAATTGATGCAAATTAATTTTTCCCCATGTACTGGTTGTTTCTTATATTCTAGTATTCCAAATAGCACCAAGATGTATGTAAAGTTTTTCTGTGAATTTGAAGTATTCCTTTAAAAAAGTTAAAAAAAAAATTTTTTTTTGGTTTGGTTTTGGGTTTGGGGGTTTTTTTTTGAGACAGTGTTTTGCTGTGTAGGCCAGAGTGGCCTTGAACTTGTGTTATCCTCCTGACTCAGCCTGACAGGCATGGATGATTATGCCTGGCTAAGTATCTTAATAAATCTTGGCCAAATTTTTTTCCAGGAAGGTTATACTAACTATTTGGTCATATTGAAGCCAACACAGAACTTGTTGCTGTGTTTTCTTTCTTCAGTGATAAATAAAATACAGGGAAAAAAAAGTTGTACTATTCTGTATGTACGACAGCAGTGACAAATGAAGCCTCAATAGAATTATTCTTTATACCATCTAACTTGAAAGTTAAAAAAAATCTTATTTTAATGTGTATTTCTGAGGCTTCCTTCTGAGTTTGTCCATTTTTATATGTGCTGGGGGTTTTTTGTTTTGTTTTTTGGGTTTTTTTGGTGTGTGTTTGTTTTCTTTTGGGGTCTTAGTTCTCAGTCACTGTAAGATGGATGATTTTTACTGTCACAGTGGAGGTTGGGTCCCTTTGAATTGTCACAAGCCCTTCTTAGGTGATAGGGAGAAAAGGCAATAGGAATGAAAAGATGAAAAGTACCCTCTGTGTATATCTTTCTTAAAAGTTGTGTATCAGGCTGGACTGGGTAGAGATTAGGCTGCCAGGTCCGTTTATATATCATATGACAGCCAGCCAGATAAGTCTCTAGTTGTTGGTGGTTTGTTTGGCTTAAACAAAACAAAGTGGAGTTTCTGAAGGATAGAGTCAGTACTGGCAATATTTTGTGTATCCCTTTCAGTACCCAACAGATGGTCACATGGGACATACTCACTGAGTTCTTTTTCTTGTGACAAACTCAGTGCAAATCTGTTGCAGAAACCCAGCACAGCAGTGGAATATCTAGCAGCGCACCTCTCCAAAATCCATGGCCTCGACTGGCACCCAGACAGTGAGCACATTCTTGCTACCTCCAGTCAAGACAACTCTGTCAAGGTGAGTGGCACCCACTGGGACAATTGTAGGAGCTGGATTTAGATGTGTCAGGGATGTGTGATAGCACTTTGGAAGGAAAGCTACAGCACTGTGTTTCCTGGGCATATGTGCCTCTTGGGGAGCTGAGCGAGTAAACCTGGTTATGGTTTTTTGTTGTAGTGTACATATCCATGTGTGTATGTTTGAGACAGGGTTTCACTATGTAATTCAGGCTGGCCTTGAACTCACTATGTAGCCCAGGCTGGCCTCAATCTTGAGGCAGTCCTCCTGTCTCAGCCTCCCAAGTGCTGGTTTTACAGGTGTGCACCACCATACTCTACTATACCTAGTTACTGTGACCAACAGGAATGAGGTTGTGGAGCTAACTGATAGCTCTGAATTTGTTTAGAAGGTTTTCTTTCCCTTAGTGACAGGAAGTCAGAGACAAATAATTTTGAAAGGAAAAGAAATTTACTTGCAAAGAAGTTGCAGGGAAGTGAGATACACACACAGAGAAACGAGTAAAGGAGGAAAGCCTGCAAATTTGTGACGGTCACCAGGCTTACAATTAGTCTATTTATGGTGGAAAAACAGCAGTTTTTTTGTGATTATCCTATCTGCAAAAAGTATGACCTCTCAGACATCAGCACTGCAAATTCAGAGACAAAGTTGTTTTGCTGGCATTCTCTAACTTGCAGGAAACACTCAAGGTTTCACACATTTTGGTGACTGTTATTTTTGGTTTATCTCAGAATGCAGTGTTTGTTACTATTTATCTTTTGTGTGCTGTGCCCCTTAATCAGTATGATGGCAGGGCAGGGTCATCTTTACTCCACAGTTCCTCCCGTGGTCCAGTCTTTCCATGAGGACAAGGATTTGATCACAGAAGTTAGCTTAGCAATTTTGTGGTTCAGTATCATTAATTCAGTGCTTTATTATATCTACATAGCTATGTGTAATGTCTTTTTGCTATGGTTAGCAAAATTAGAGTCATACCTGAGGCTTAAAGTTAACATCTATCTTAAGATATGGTTGTCATTTATTTTTGTGTGTCAGAGTGGCTATTTTGTTTGTTTTTACTTTGTTTGCTGCAGTTGGTGTTTGCCCTTCATCCCTGTCAGCTTATCTCCCAAGTTCAGGAACCAGGAACTATCCAATTCTACATTTGAAAAAGGGATTAATAATATCTATCTGCTCATGGTTGTTTTAAAGATTAAATGAGATTTTAAAAACTGAAGTTTTAAATACATGTCTGAAATGCAGTAAGTAGTGGAGGCATTTCAGCTGTTGTTATTAAATTACTTGCATGGTGTGAACGTAATATAGGATCAAAACCTGTCAGTTTTACCTTTCAGCTACACGGGTCATTTAACAGGCAGGTTGACTGACAATGATCTGTCTCAAATTGATGATCCTCATGAAGTCCAGAAATTCTCCTGTCATGTCAATAAATGGGAAAAGGAGGATTCTTTGTGTCTCTTTAAGTAGCATGGTTATGGGGGTGGAACTAAAAATATACTATTGAAAGGTGTCTTTGGAGGATAAAAAGCAGTGAGTTCTAAGGCTATGCTTATTACAATATTTGAATTTTCAAAATGCTGTTTATCTTACAATTTTTCTTCCAGTTCTGGGATTACCGGCAGCCTCGGAAATACCTCAGTATCCTCCCTTGTCAGGTGCCTGTGTGGAAGGCCAGATACACGGTGAGTGAGATACCCTAACTCTTGCTGGAAACTTCCTCTTGGTGTTCCAGGTGCAAAGACCCACGGACATTTTCTCTGTGAGACGGTTTTCTCTTTCTGTCTTGGTTTGGCAGATGTGATAATGATCACATAAATGCTGTTATCAACTTGCAATCATACCCTTGAAATATTGATTAGGTTCTGCATTAGGACTGCTGACCACAGCTGAATGGAGAAGGGGAGAGTGAAGGCATTCACCAGGGGCAACCAGGAAGGACGGAGGGGAGAGTTGAGGGGCTGGAACCCAGTGAACTGTGAAGGAAGGAAGCCTGGGGCCCAGCTCTACCATTTAATGTTTGTGTGGCCTTACTCAAGCCAATTGATTTTGAGCAGAAATTTCGTCCTCTATAGAATATAAAGAATACTCTACTATGCTTTCCTTTCTTTTTCTTTTTTTTTTTTTTTTGGTGGTACTGGGGATTAAACCTAGTGCCTTTGCACTGAGCTACATCCTTTTTTGGGGGAGACAGAGTCTCCCTAAGTGTCTGAATTGCACAGGCTAAGCTTGAACTTGTGATTCTTCTTCTGCTTCAGCCTCCCAGAATGCTGGTGCTACAGGTGTGCACCGCTACACTTAGCTCCTTTTTAAAAAAATTGTGACAGTCCAGTGCTATTTACTACGTTAACAATCTGCCTTCCTTTTGAAATAAAGTATTGAATAAGCCTTATAAATCATAAAATGCTACAAATAGAGAGGTAGTGATTGTCAGCCTGCCAGTCATTTTTCCATGGCCATATTGGTAGCTGCTGATCAGAAATAATGTGTTTCCTTTAATGTTGATTTGAAAGCCAGCATGGAGGTGAATAAAGCTATCTTTCTGCATGAGGCTGTTACTCTGGGACATTGTAGAGCGATGAAGATAATTGGGCTTTAAGTTGTTTTTGCATCTGGGATCACTTGCTAAGAAAGCAGACATAATCCCTATGAACTGATACACTTCTCTGGGTTAATATGTTTGCTTTAAAAAGTAAAAAGTCCAGGAATCTACCAGGAGAGGATATGAAGGTAAATAAATGTGCTCTTAGGTGACTCTGGCTTATTCTTTAAATAACAGAGTCTGGTTATAAAACAAATGGGCCCCTTAGCTACCTAGCAAATTGGGAGTTGCTGAGTAAAACATCAGTCCTGAGGTTACTAAGCTCTCCTTTGAGTAGGTAGAGTCCTGGCAGTGGGAACGAGATGCTTCATGTGGCTGCTGTGTGTCTGTCTGGTCTTTCCAATGGCAGAAATTAATGTTTGCTGCTCCAGTGGTTTCCCAGGCAGCCTTGTGTGCCCCTTCTTTAGGAGGGACTCATGGAGAGTAGGTGGGATATCAAACAGCAGTCAGAGCTGTTTGCTTTTGGAAGAGTTTTCAAAGTTCTTCTCCAAGCATTTGGCCCAGCCTTATTTTCATTTGCTATGGTCCCTCCCCTAAGCAGAGCAACAGCTAGATGTGATGGTTAGCTTATCATATTTGGAAAAATTTTCCCCAGATAGCTTGGGGCCTTCTATCATGTGATTTTTTTTTTTTTTTTTTTTGAGACAAGCTCTTGCCATGTAGTTCAGGCTAGCGCAATCTGGCCTCGAATTCTTGATGATCCTCCTGCCTCTGCCTCCTAAGTGCTGGGATTGCAGGTGTGCGCCACCATGCCTGGCTTTATCATCTAATCAGTTTTAGTTAGGAAGAATTCTGATTTTGAGAACTGAGACTCTGCTGATTCTCCCAGAATAATCCATGCTTTTCCCTTTCTTGCCATAGCCTTTCAGCAATGGATTAGTGACTGTGATGGTTCCCCAGCTTCGGAGGGAAAACAGCTTGCTCCTGTGGAATGTCTTTGACTTGAACACCCCGGTCCACACCTTTGTGGGGCACGATGATGTGGTACTGGAGTTCCAGTGGAGGCGACAGAAGGAAGGTATGTGGGGGAAGATCGCTGCTCCTTCTAAGCTGTGGTGGGTGGCAGCACCAGGCATGTGGGTTATGTGGTCCAGGAAGGAGCATGTAGATCAGGGCTGGGCTCTAGGAACCAAAGAGGGAATGCACTGCCTTTAGTCATAGGAGGGTAAACACAGTGCACGGTCACTCCTCTCACCCCAGCTTCTCCTCCAGTTTTCAGTGTAGTCTCCTGCTCAGAAGAGATTGGTTACTGTAAGTGGTTCATAGAGATATTCTATTGAATTGTTTCTAGTGCTGCAAGACCATGGGATCGGTGCCTTCATTGGTCCAGGGAGTTTGCCCCTCCCCCCTCTATTGAGAAGGAAATCAATGGTGGTTGTTAATATGGTCTACCATGTAAGCTGCAGAATACCAGGTATTCTCAAACATATAGTGGTATTTTTTACCTCCCATCTCCTTGAAGATTTGGCCAAATGTCTCACTTTGATTGTGGAGCTCCAGCAAAATGATGAGTTTCTCCAGGATTGGAGTGTTAGGAGTTGTGTAGTTCTGTACTCTCTGCCTTTGCCACACAGCTGACAAGACTCCAGCTGGAGCTTCCTGCAGGTCCTGCCACAAGGCTGAAGTGGGGATACAGAGCCCCAGGAACATTGCTTTAAGCCATCGAGATTTTCTTTGTTACTGCAGCTAAATCTAGTCATCCCTCACTAATGCTGGATCATAAGAATGAGGGGATCAAGCACTTTTAACCTCAGTTTGTCCACCAACTCACCTTGCATGTTCAGATCCAGTCTCTCTTTTTTTGAGGTCTTATTGCCATGATCTCCAAATGTTTGACAGAACAGTAGCATATTTGCTGGTGTTTCCATATTGCAGAAGGGAAAACTAGGCAGCTGGAATGATGGAACTTGTCCAGGGTCCTGCGAAATCTAGTGGACCTAGGATTAGAGTAGTCATCTTCTGTCCTACCTTGTTTTATTTTTAATTAGTACATGTTTACGATACATAATGAATACATTCATCATGGTACGTGCGCATGTTGCATCTTAATCCTTTTTACTTCCTCTTCCCATCAGCAAAAGGTCTACTTCCCTGTTTCTTATAGTCTCTTTTATTTTTCTCTTTAAATTATTTATATTTTAGGTTTCTCCTCAGCTTGTTTGTGATCCTCATAAACCACTTCCAGAATATTTTCAAGGGGACTCTTGATCATTCTCTAACTTTCCTCCCTTTATGTCTAAAATCTCTCTTGCTTCCAGAAACATCAGGCTACCTGGTTCTTATCCCACCAATTGCGTACATAGCTTTTGGCTTTCAACTTAATTTTTGTATTTTGCTATAGAAAATAGGTAACATAACTTCCCCCACAGACTGTCAAGGAAGAGCTAACCTGTAGTTTTGGATTGAAATGAATAGTTTTTAGCAACCCATTTTTAGATATCTGTGTCATCATTAGGCTGTTGGAATGAGTTGTATAAACTGAAACTATCGAGCTAGTAGTGAAAATTTGATTACAGGTTATAGGGTTTATTTTTGTTTGTATTTTTATGATGAAATAGATCAAGCAGAAAATTACATAGAACATGTGCAGTTTAATAATTATAAAGTGAGATCTGTAACTCCCACCAAGGTCTAGAGAGAGAACATGCCAGGACTCTCGAAACTTCGTGACCACAATCCCCCTCCTTCCCCTGCAGCATCACCATTGTAAAGCTTTTCATAGCGATTGCTATTTTTAAAAAATTTGTGGTTTCATTACTTTATTAATTTCTAAACATAGCTTAGGTTTGCCTGGTTTTGAACCTTTTATGAATTTAATTATTCTATATGTATTCTTAAATTTTACTTTCCTCCCAAGCTAATGATGCTGTAGTTTATTTGTACTGCTTATCTTTAGTCAATTTTTATTAGACCACCTCATGCCTTCGCTTTGATTTTTTCACTTAGAAGGAAGATCTTTCAAAGAGATAGGAAGAGAATCAGGATGTTGTGGCCAAGGGGAAAGAATGCTTCATGAAGGAAGTGGTGGTCATTGGTTTCAGGTGTTGCTGAAGGATGAAAATGCAGAATAAGACAAAAGCATTAATTTAACAAAAAGGAAGCCATAGATCATTAAGAGGGGTGGTGTTCCAAAGCAGATGGAGGCTGGAAGCTGGATGCTAGATTATAAAGTAACCTAAACCGAGGCAGCAGGGCTGGTTTTGTTGTCTTCAAAGGCAAGGAGTAGAATGAGGCAGTTGGTGGAGGCTGCTGCCCACACTTTTTGAAGGCAGAGAGAAAATGCAAGGAAAGAAACTAGGAAAGCAAGGCCCTTGCGGGAGGAGTGGGAACTGGTGAAAGGAGCAGGGACAAGAATGGAGTTTATAAAGCACTCACACATGCCTTTTCCTCAAAGTCAAGGACTTGCAAAAAGGCCAGGTGTAGGATCAGTTGGTGACTGTGAACATGAAACTAGATGGCAGAATGGAAGGCAGGGAAGGGTAATGAAAAAGGAATAATTTTATTATGTAAATTATGTGCATGGATGGTACCAACTCTCCAGGAGGAATGTGACCCTTATGTTCTCTGCAAACATGTACTAATAAAAACTTTTTTAAATTTAAAAGAAAAAAGAATAGTTGCTGTTTTGTTAGATGTACCTAGGGATATATTAAAAACTTTGGTTAAAGATAGTGGCACAGAAGGAAATAATAAGAGAACAGGCACTTGGTCATGTTCTCTGTTACCTTAATCTCCTCACCCATAAAATGAGATAATTGGATGAAATTATATTTCTAATGAGGGAGGTTCTAGATGCTGTTAATTGCCCTAAGTGTCCTGCTCTTTCATAAGATCTCTCACAAAGCACCCTGAACCTTTTAGAATAATTTCCTTTTAAGCAGACCTAATATGCAAAAATATGATTCAGTCAATTAAGAAGATTAAATGTTGATTATTCATCTTATAAAGAGAGGCATCACTTTACCAAAAGATTCTTTTGAATAATAGGATGCCATGATGCATTTAAAACAATTCATTTTTACAAAATACGTATTCATCCCCAGTTCCTCAGGAGTGTATAAATGGAAGAACATTTGGAGAGGTGAAAGTTCAGTGTGACATTAAATCTCAGCAACGCTCTCCACCTGCTAATTTGCCAGTTCTTGTTTCCCTTCATTTAAGTTTCTGCTCCAGTGGAACTTCTTCAGGGAGTCCCGTCTACAAATAGCTCTCCTATCAGTCTCTGTCCTCTTATTCCGTTATTTTTTATGCCACTTACCACTGCTTGGCATTTTATTATATTTTTATTTGTCTTTTTTCATCATTGGAATGTGAGCTCTATAAAGATAGAAATTATTTGTGCCATCGTCCTGGTACCTAGAAAAATACCTGGCTGTTTAATAAGTATTTGCTGGAGCCAGGCGTGGTGGCACACGCCTGTAATCCTAGCATCAGGAGTCTGAGGCAGGAAAATTGCCATGAGTTCAAGACCAGCCTGAATTACATAGTGAGACCCTACCTAAAAAAAAAAAACAAAAACCTGTTGGGTGTATGTGTGTTTGAATGAATCAATGAATGAATGAATCTCACTCCATTGGGAACTGTAACAAAATAGGTGTTGAATCCACAAAAATTTTTAGGATGTTTATTTGGTGATTTCTAGGGTCCAAGGACTACCAACTGGTTACATGGTCCCGGGATCAGACCTTGAGAATGTGGCGGGTGGATTTCCAGATGCAGAGGGTAGGTATTCAGTGCTATTGGGCACTATAACTTGATACACTAGAAATTTAACTTTAAAAGATTTAGTATTGGGCTCGGGATTTAGCTCAGTGGTTTCGCTGCCTGCTGCACAAGCGCAAGGACCCAAGTTTGATCCCCGGTACCAAAAAAAAAAAAAAAAAAGAGTATTTGTGGAAGTTAGAGAATACATGATAGACATTGAAGATATTCTGGCTGGTTGGCTGAATGGCCTGGGTATGCCATGCTAACTTTGAGGTCTTTAAGAGCCAAAATATTCATCACTTTAAGGCCAAAGAGCTTCTAAATGCCTTTTTCTCCTGTCCTATTAAAGATAGGATGTTTCCATACTGAGCAAATAGCCTGTGGGCTTCCTCTCTTTCTCCTCTTATACTCTGGAGCTGTTTAGAGCCCTTTCATTCATGGACAACACTTCTTCTATGAAGATGCTCTCAATTTTTTCTCCCTACATGACACATGGCAGCTGCTATCAACTGACTTTGTGACTCCTGCTCTGTTCTGCCCCATCATGAGCTGTCTTCTCCTCAACTAATGCTAAATCCCTCATGGTGAGAAACATGTCTGACTGGTCTCACATCCCCCACAGTACCTGGCACACTGCCTTGCACAGAACCAGTGGGAAATGCTGGGTACGATTTGCCACACTGCTTAGTGTCTGGTCCGTCTTGAGCATGTGGGTCAAGTCTCATGATGCTATTGCTTTTTCAACCTATTTTCTCCAGAAAGTAATATTTGCTCCCTATGCTTTGAGGTTATATTTTTGCTCCTGAGTTGGCTGAATAACACCACGAAGGTTTGTGATTTCAATTAATTTTTTCTGAGCCTTGCATAAACTCTGAATGTGAAGAAAAATGTCCAGAGTAGAATAATAGAGTCTATTACCCTGTGTATTTAACTAGGGAGAGTTGGTGACAGGTAAAATCTATTTTGATTGTGTCAGTTGTTGGCTGACACATCTCTATCCTTTGTGATACTCATTTTTAAGTCACAACTGGAACCAGACACGCTGATCATTTCCACTGACTTCTCTAGTCCCGTGTCTTCTACCTTTTGTTGCAGCTCTGTGCCAATGACATATTGGATAGTGATGAGTTCATTGAGAGCATTTCTCTTCTCCCGGAACCAGAGAAGACCCTGCACACTCAAGACACTGATCACCAGCACAACTCAAGCCATGGGGAGGAGGAAGGTACCGTGTCAGACTGGTCTGAGGGGAGGGCTCACTACACATTTCATACCTATGCAGCAGATACCCCACAATGTACTCACTTTCCAAAATGTTTTCCAACATTGAGCATCTCTTCTCTTAGCCTTAAAGGAAGATCCCCCTAGCAGTCTCCTGGAGGAGAGGAAATCAGATCAGCTGGGCCTGCCGCAGACTCTGCAGCAGGAGTTCTCCCTTATCAATGTGCAGATCCGGAACGTCAATGTAGAGGTAAGTCATAGCTTAAAGAGCCTGTCTTATGACTGTTCATGGCAGTTTGTGGGAGAAGGGGCTATTTCAGCTAGGATTTCAGCTAGCAAATAGCTTTGCAGCTCTAACAGGTGAGTCTCTCTGCTGGCTATCTTAATTCCTAGATATTTTCTTTTCAAGAAATGGATGTTTCCCAAATTCAGACCTCCCACCCTTGCAGTACTGGGGTTAGAACCCAGGGCTTCATTCATGCTAGGCAAGCAACTACCCCTGAGCTGCAACCCGAGGCCCAGACTTTTTTCTGTCTCATTCTGTTCTCCTAGGATGAGCTGAAGCATGTGCTCCTCCTTAGGTGCTCTAATACCTTGTTTTGCTACATATGACACCACTTGCTCTGGCCAGTCCCCATTATTGGCAGAGTTACTGGGGAAGTTAATGCACAGGTGACTTTGGAATCCCTCCTGACCCCTCAGGCTCTCCGCACTGTGCTTACTACTGTCCTTTACAAACTGCTTATTTTCTTGCTGGTTTAGTCCACAGTAAGAAGGTGGGCAAAACCTCTTTATTCACTTAGCACATGGAACCATTTACCCTTTCACTTTTGGGCAAGTATTGAAACTGTTTGCTTCAGAGAATTGCATGTCTCTCCAGGAAGGAGTTTTAATGCTTGGTTAGTTTTTCTTTTGCCTAGATTCAGTTAGCTGTAGGCAGAGATATATACCATTACGTGACTGTCTCACAATTCTCTAAGCAAGCATGGTGCCGCACAGCTGTAATCCCAGCACTTGGGAACCTGAGGCAGGAGGATAGAGGCAAGTTTGAGGCCAGCTTGGGCTATGTAGTGAGTTCAAGGCCAGCCTAAACTACATAGACCCTGTCTCCAAAAAACAAAAGCAAACAAAATAAAGCTGGGTATGGTGTAACATGCCTGCAATCTCAGCACTTGGGAGCCTGAGGCAGAAGTATTATTGCCAGTTCTAGGTCAGTTTGGGCCACATAGTGAGTTCAAGGCCAACTTGAATTACATAGTGATTCCCTCTTCCTCCAAAAAACAATCCTTTAGTAAGTGTTTTACCTCACTTTATGGATGAGCAAACTGAGATACCAGAGGTGAAATGACTTGTCCAAGGTCAGCAGCTATTTGGTGGAAGAGGATAATGTTTGAATCCAAGTCTCTGGCTTTCTGGCATGTTTGCTCTTTTCACTGTCCTCCAGCTGCCCTCTATAGTTGGCAGCAAACAGAAATCAATAGATAGTTATCTATATTAACTCAGCTAATACTCCCTTTGGCCTAATTGAGAACCAGCCATGTGGCTGTGGTTTAAGAAGGAGATCTTCATTCTTTTCCTCAGGGGTCCCTCTTAAAAACTATTAAGATATAATTCACATGCCACAAAATTCACCCTTTTAAACTGTGCAATTACTGGTTCTTAGTATAGTCACAAAGTTGTGCAACCATCACCACTATCTAATTCCAGAACATTTCATCATCCTAAAAAACATCCCCTTTCTCATTATCGGTCACTCTCCACTTGCCCTCTGCTCAGCTCCTGGAAGCCACAAATCTACTTTCTGTCTGTGGATTTTCCCAGGAGTACTTTTTGTTCTTTTTGATACCAGAGATCGAACTCAGGTCCTTGCACTTGCGAGGCAGGCAGCAGAACCAATGAGCTAAATCCCTGGCCCTTCCCAGGAGTACTTTTTAAGTTGAATCAGGTTATTTCTTTTAGTTTCTTCCTGCTTTATTTTCTCATCTCAAAGTCAGTATGACAAGTTTTAGCCAACTTCACAGCTTTGAGATAAAGCTTTTTTAAAAATCAAAATACTTGAATTTATTAAATTAGTACTAAAATTTTAAAATCTGTTATGAAAATGAAGTATCTCCCAGACTCATTTGTCTTTGTAAACTCTCTTCCCTTTACTCAGTTTCCAGGAACAGGGAACATTCTAGTAGCTTTCTTAAAACTGTTTGCATCTTGCTGGGAGGGTGGAGCTCAGTGGTAGAGTGTTTTCCTAACATGTGTAAGGTCCTGGGTTTGAGCCCTAGCACTACCAAAAAAAAATGAAAAATCCATTTGCATCTGAAGACCCTTTGCAGTTTGTCTCCAAAGCAGTTGTGGGCTTGTGTCTTGCAGATGGACGCAGCGGATAGGAGCTGCACAGTATCTGTGCACTGTAGCAACCACCGCGTCAAGATGCTGGTGAAGTTCCCGGCGCAGTACCCCAACAATGCCGCCCCTTCCTTCCAGTTTATTAACCCTACCACCATCACGTCCACCATGAAAGCAAAGCTGCTAAAGGTGTGGCCCCAATTTCTCCTTGCTTTTGTAAGATGAGCTCTGCTCATGTGCATCAGTGTCTAGGCTGAGGAGGGAAATAGAGTGAAAACTCGGATAGATGAGATGTGGGAGTCATGTTTCCCACATTGGCCTTTTACTTCCTGTAGATACCATTCAAGGAGTGGTCCTTAGCCTTTCTATTGGATCATGGATACCTTTTAGAAATTTAATGAAAACTGTGGACCCTTCTTCAGAAAGATTTGCACAAATGCTGTATATAACTTCAGAAATACTGCATATAAATGTTTAGAATACATATATGCTCACAGATTGCATTAAAGCTATACATTAATCCAGGTTAGGAACCCTGCAATATAATTTCATTTATGTAGAGACAATAGGTAAGATGTATTCTGAAGCTAAAAGATATTTGATAATCAGAAAAAAACTGTATATGATCGTTGAAAAGAATCAATCCTGTAGAAGGAGCCAGCATTATCCTGGTGAGAGGCTAGCTAGCCACAGGCCAGATGTGTGAGGGATAGCAGTGTTTGTGTGTGGCCAGCACAGCCTGGTGGCTGGTCTTCAACCCTGCAGGTTCAGAAACTTGATATGAGGAGGTGCAACCTTTATTTAAAAAGCACATGGAGCAAGGTGTGGTGGTGCACACCTCTCATTCCAGCACTTAGCAGGGTAAGACAGGTGGATCAAGAGTTCAACTCCAGCCAGGGCTACAGTATAGTGAGGCCCTGTCTTAGAAAAATAAAGTAAAAAAATCATGAGCCAGGTGGTAATACACTTTTTTTTGGATTGAGCAGTACATGAGTGAAGGAACTAAAATGTCCTGACAAACCCAAATTGAGTGTTGCATATCCTTTGCCCATTTTGAATCATACATACGTGAGTAGTCTGTATTGTGGTATGATGTGTAACCAGAAATTTTCCAAGTGGCTTAAGAATCCCTGAAATCCTAATTACTTAGATTTTGTGGCATAGTATTTGGCACTTTAAACTTAGACTCTGTTTCATTGCTTATTTTAGACATACAAAAAAGATGGATTTTTTTTTTTTTGCATTGGTGTAAAAAGATAAGCTTATGGGAAGTCTTTAAAGGTATAGTTCAGCTCTGTCCAATAGAAATATAATGCAGGCCACATGTAATTTCAGATTTTCAGTAGCCACATTTTTAAAAGTTAAAAAATTTTAATATATTTTAACTTAATCCAGTATATCTAAAATATTCTCATGTAACATAAAATCAGTATAAAATTATTGAGATAGTTTACAGTTTGTTAGTTCTTTCCCAAGTCTGTGATTTTTTACAGCATCTCTTGCTTTGGATGAAGCACATATCATGTGGTCCAACTCATATGCCCACCTCAGTGGATGCAGGTTCCTGTCAATAGCATGCTAAATGTTAGGATTTATTGGTATTTTTCCCCTGCACATTAGGACTTATCACTTTAAAGGACCAAAAAAAAAAAATCCTGTTTTTACTGAGGGAAAATCTGTTCCCCCTGGCTTGCATCTCCAGAGCAGCTTTTCATCCTGGCAAGCAGGTGTTGCCTCCAGGGTGCTGCCATTTCTTGTGAACAAGTGGGAGAGACCAAGGGGCAGAATTCACTAGAGAGAAAGGATGGTTTTTCTGTTACTAGAAGCTGCCCTGTCAAAACCAGCACATGTGGCTCCTTGGCTGCAAAGGGCTTTTCTAGGAGGCCCAGGAAGACATTGTTCTCTGAATCCCCACCCCGTAGGAGATAGGAGTGTGTTATGCTGGAAGCCTCAGACCCGGTCATGCTCCAGTCCTCCTGCGCACCATGCTTCTGACTACTTGGCAGTATAAAGCAACCAGGGAATATGGTGCTCTTCTTTTTTCATTTCTTTTTTTTTTTTTTGAGACAGGGTCTCGCTTTGTAGTCCAGGCTGGCCTTGAACTCACTGGGGTGCCGAGGCTGTCCTCAAAGTTGTGGCAATCTTCCTGCCTCAGCCTTCCAAGTGCTGGGATTACAGGCATGTGCCACCACTCCCAGCTAGTATGGTGTCATTCTTGACTGTGTTTTGGGCTTTTTCTAGATCCTGAAGGACACCTCGCTGCAGAAAGTGAAACGCAACCAGAGCTGTTTGGAGCCTTGCCTGCGTCAGCTCGTCTCCTGCCTTGAGTCTTTCGTGGTGGGCATCGTGAAATCGTACCAACTTATGCGATGTATCCGGTTTCATTTCTTCTCCCTGCAATCTTGGGCTCCCTGATTTTGTAACATTGTACCCCTCTTTTTTTGGTACCAGGGATTGAACTTGGGTCCTTCTGCTTGCGGGGAAGGCGGCAGAACCACTGAGCTAAATCCCTGGCCCCTGTACCCCTCTTTTGTAATTTAGCTTTAAGACAGGTTGTGGTATTTAAATTTACATTTTAAATTTCAGAACCAAGAAGACAGCACTTCCAGCAACCCATTTGCGCTCCCAAACTCTGTCACACCACCCTTACCAACATTTGCACGGGTCACCACTGCCTATGGGTCTTACCAGGATGCTAATATCCCCTTTCCTAGGACTTCTGGGGCCAGGTTCTGTGGAGCAGGTTGGTCTCTGTGGTTCTCTGATTCTAGATCTTAAGAGAGTACAGTCAAGAGTGTTGTGTGTTCTATGAAAGCATCTTCATCAGAAAAGATTTTATTACCAATAAAAGGATATACAAAAAAAAAAAAAAAAAGAAAAGATTTTATTTAAAAAAAAAAAAAAGAAAAGATTTTATTTAAAAAAAAAAAAAGGCCGGGGATTTAGCTCAGTGGTTCCGGTGCCTGCCTTGCAAGCGCAAGGTCCCGAGTTGGATCCCTGGTACCAAAAAAAATAAAATTAAAAAAAAAAAAGAAAGAAGAGATTTTGTTTATATTTCCTGAGAATTCAAAAAGGGTGTGATGCCAAATTGGTGTGGAGGGGGGCATATCCTAAGAGTTTTCACCAAAAGTCAGACCAGTTTTTCATTCTGATGACCTTGGATTTGAGTCTACTCAGATCCCTGATTCTTATCTTAAGAGGATAAGTCTTCTAGCACAGATTCATAAAGTACCTGTGAAGACTTTATTCCATCTCTTGGACTCTGGCGATTCTGACCTTGTTCAGTCATGAACCTTTGCAATTTCATGAAACTAAACTGTATCTTATCTCTCAGGGATATTGAAATAGAAAAAAAGCTTGCCCGATCCTGCTTTAGGATTTTCTACATCCAGCTCTCTGACCTTGATGTGCCCGTCTGTGGTCTCCTTTGCAGGCTACCTGGTGTACTTCACAAGGCCCATGACAATGCACCGAGCAGTGTCTCCGACAGAACCCACTCCCAGGTGAGTCTGGAGATACAGAGGACTCTGCAGCCACAAGGCCAGAAGGGAGAAATCTGGAAAGGAGCACTGAGCCTATCTTTGGACAGTTTGTTTTAGTTCTTAAGTAAACTCCTGGTAAGATTCATTCAAGAAAGATCAAGGTTCATTAGATTGAAGGAAAGCTGAGACTTCTGCTGTAAGGTAACTATCAAACCACATGGAGTAGCTTGATGAAAGCTGTTATCGAAATAAGGGAATTTTTTTTTCCTTTGCAGTACTGGGGATTGGACCAAAGTTTTTCATTTTAAGACGGTCTCACTAAGTTCCCCAGACTGTCTTTGAATTTGTGACTCTCCTGCTTCAGCCTTCTAAGTAGCTGGGATTACAGGCCTGTGCCACTGTACCGTACCTGGGTGGCAAATTATTTTTTAATGTGCTTTTCTCCTCTTGCTAAAGGGTTACTCATTTTTTTATTATTTATTTTAATTGTTTAATTTTAAATCAAACTGAAAACATCATCTATAGTTTGTTGTTGTTGTTATTGTTAAATTCTTTTATTGGTACATTTTAGGTATACAACACAATTCCATTTCTCATCGGGGATCATCTATATTTTTATAACACTGATATGCCACTTCTAGCATTACCAAAATATGTAATGTTTAAAAATTATATAAGATGGGGCCGGGGATTTAGCTCAGTGGTTTCACTGCCTGCTGTGCAAGTGCAAGGACCCGAGTTCGATCCCTGGTGCCAAAAAAAAAAAAAATTATATAAGATGTTAGAAAAACTCAATTATGAAGTTTTACGTTAAAATGCCAAAGCCCCTCCTTTCCTTTCCCACGTGCCCAGGAGCTCCTGTTAACAATAGAACACATTCACGTCATCTTCATTATTTTTGTTGTGGGCTTTTTTTTTTTTTTTTTTTTGGTACCGGGGATTGAACTCGGGTCCTTGCCCTTGTGCAGCAGGCGGCGAAACCACTGAGCTAAATCCCCGGCCCTGTAGCACTTCTATTTTAAACATTAAAATTGTAACTTTTAAATAAAATTTTGCAATGTTAGATTAATCCTATGAACAACACCTAAATACAATTTTTTATTGTCCCCTTCTTACCTATATTGAGATAAGCTAAGATTTTTATTGGATATTTTTATTATTATTACTTCAAATAGTCAATATTTAACGAGTAGCAGTACTATTTTTGTTTTATTACTAATT